CCGTCCAGCTTTCCCAACACCATTTGCTGAAGAGATTGTCTTTATTCCATTATGTATTCTTGCCTCCTTTGTTGAAGATTAGTTGACCTAAAGTTTGTGGGTTCATTTCTGGGCTCTCTGTTCTGTTCCATTGGTCCGTATGTCTGTTTTTGTACCAATACCATGCTGTCTTGACGACTGTAGCTCTGTAGTATTGTCTGAAGCCTGGGAGAGTTATTCCTCCAGCCTCTTTCTTTCTCTTCAGTAATGCTTTGGCAATTCTAGGTCTTTGATGATTCCGTATAAATTTTATTATGATTTGTTCTAGTTCTGTGAAATATGTCCTGGATAATTGGATAGGGATTGCATTAAATCTGTAGATTGCCTTGGGCAGTGTGACCATTTTAACAATATTGATTCTTCCAATTCAGGAGTGTGGGATATTTTTCCACTTTTTTAAGTCTTCTTTAATTTCCTTCATCAGTGTTTTATAGTTTTCCATGTATAATTCACCTCCTTGGTTAGATTTACTCCTAGGTATTTTATTACTTTGGGTGCTATTTTAAAGGGGATTGTTTCTTTACTTTCTTTTTCTGTTGATTTATCATTAGTGTAAAGAAATGCAACTGATTTTTGAACGTTAATTTTGTAACCTGCTACCTTGCTGAATTCTTCAATCAGCTCTAGTAGCTTTTGTGTGGACCTTTTAGGGTTTTCTATATATAGTAACATGTTGTCAGCATATAATGACACTTTTACCTCTTATTTCCCAATTTGGATCCCTTTTATTTCTTTCTCTTGCCTGACTGCTGTGGCTAGGACTTCCAAGACTATGTTGAATAGGAGTGGTGATAGTGGGCAGCCTTGTCTTGTCCCAGATTTTAGTGGGAAGCTTTTGAGTTTTTCACCATTGAGTACTATGCTGGCTGTAGGTTTTAAAGGATTACTTATTAACGAAGAAAACCAGGCATCTCAAGTTAAAGAATTTAGCTCTTTTCTATGTATGGGAGGAAGCAACACATTTGGGCTCAATGAATTCATTCCTTTGACAAGCACCTAGCTATCTAGGGCCAGTATCCTGTCCTTTCTTATTCTGAGTCCCCTCAGAGTGCACCACTGTGAGTAGCTGCAGAGGCCTGGCTGCAGGCCTGTCCTCACTGAGGCGTGGGGAAGCCGCTGATGACTTGATGGCTTCAGCGTTCTTTGTTTACTGATATGGTTTGCAGTATTTTTGCTTCACACCTTTAAATTTTTGTCCTTCCCCAAAGATAGTAAGATATTAAAGGACTCATTCTACAGTGCCTATTTCAAACCAAACCACTTCATTTCAAATGAAAATGAATTTCTCTCTTGAAAAACACTGAACAAAATATCCCTTTTGGAAATTTCTGAATTTGTGAGTGGACAGAACACATGGCCTTACACTCAAGGCTCACATTCCATTTCCCTTTCTGTGCGGGGTTTTTCACTTCAGCCTTTCCTCAAACTCAGTCATGCTGTGTCAGGAAGAGGACTAATTCTACCAACAGCCTCTGAGGTTTGCATGGTCACCAGGGTAACAGTTTTATATGAATTTTTTTTCCTTTTTGAGAAAACTTTTAGATTGAGCAGAGCAAAGCTTTGAAGTTATATGCATCACTTTATTTTCTGATCACTTCATATTCATTTATCTACCAGAGAAAAACCTTCCAGGTCCTGTCAACTGCTGGTGAGGCACCAAAAATCAAACAGTGGCCCTTTTTTTTTCTACAGTAAGATTTTCCAGAGTCCTTAGGCAGGATAATCAGTATAGCATGACTACAGGCAAATGTTCCTTGAAAATGAATCCAGTCTTTCACAAGTTTTATTTTTCAGCCACATTTCTGGCATTTAATAAATACTGAAAAGGAAATATCACACAAAAATTGAGAAGACACCTGAATTATAATCAGGATATGTCTATTGTCAGAAACCCTCTGGTGGGACAAAAGTTTTGTTAATTTTACTAAACTTTGCTTTTTAAAAAGTTGGAAATCATACGTAGTGGAAATCACTACTGCAGAACAGAAAAAAGAAGAAAGAAAAAAGAAAAAGAAATGATGATAGTTTGAGAGACCTCTGGGACAACATCAAGGTGTTAATTTATTCGCATTATAGGGGTCCCAGAAGGAGGAGAGAGAGAGAAAGGGCCTGAGAAAATATCTGAAGAGATGATAGCTAAAAACTTCCCTAACTCGGGAAAAGAAACAGTTACCCAAGTTCTGGAAACACAGAGATTCTTGTACAAGATGAACACTAAGAGTAACATACCTAGAAATATTGCAATTAAAATGTCAAAAATCAAAGATAAGGAGAGAATATTAAAAGCAACAAGGGAAAAGCGACAAATAACATAGAAGGGAACTCCCATAAAACTGTCAGCTGATTTCTTAGCAGAAACTCGAGAGGCTAGAAGGAAGTGGCACAATCTACTTAAAGTGATGAAAGGGAAAAACCAACAACCAAGAATACTCATTCAAATTTGATGGAGAAATCAAAAGCTTTACAGACAGGCAAAGGCTAAAAGAATTTAGCACCACCAAATCTGTTTTACAACAACTGCTAAACGAACTTCTCTAGGCAGAAAAGGCCACAACTAGAAACAAGAAAACTACGAAATGGAAAAGCCCACCGGTAAAGGCAAACATACAGAAAACGTAGGACGTCATCCACACACAAGCTAGAAGGAAGGTCAAAAGACAGAAGTAGTAATGCCATTTGTATCCACAACAAGCAGTTAAGGGATTAATTAACATTTAGATGTAAAATATGATGTAAAAATCACAAAGGGAGGATGTTTAAAATGCATTTGAAATTAAGAGCTCAGCCACTTAAAGCGATCATATATATATATATATATATATATATATATATATATATATATATATATATGTCATTAGCCACCTCTATCTATCTATCTATCTATCTATCTATCTATCTATCTATCTATCTATCTATCTATCTATCTAGAGTGCTATACCAAAACCTTTTGGTAACCACAGTGCAAAAGTCTATATATACACACAAAAAAGAAAAAGGAATCCAAGCTTAACACTAAAGATAGTCACAAGATCACAAGAAGAGAACAAAAGAAGAAAAGGCAAAGGTTGGACATCATATGGGGAAATCCTTCCAGTTCAAGAATAGCACTGATAGTCCCATCAGGAGGAGAAGGAGTCGATTAGATCTTGGCAGCACAGCAGATAAAATGCAGAGGAAGCTTTTGCAGAAGGGAAAGTCAGTTGAGTGGAGAACAGAGGCCTCGTTTCCAAAAGCTGCAGTAATACTCCTGACTCGGCACTGCCTCTGCCCGAGAGCCTTCCAGACGGCCTTCCCTGCACAGGAGGGAGCCTGAGACAGGTGTTTGTGTGGATGGGTGACTCCAGTTCAGAACGGTTTTCCTTGCTCTCCTGACTTTCCCCTGCTCTTGTCCTCTTAGCTCGCTGCAGTCCAAGATTCTTCTCCTGTATAAGCGTCTGTATAAGATTTTTCTCCTACTGATGTTAGTAGTGTTGGTCCTCCACATAGTTTGAGGTATCAAACATTTTCAGATGGCCTTTCAAGCTCTTCTTCCCCATCTCCTACACTCTGAATTCACAATCGACCCAATTAGCAAAAGAAAATAATTAACCACCCTCTGCCCAATGATCCACACAGAAGGCTACACCTGCTTCTCCACTTTTTCTTCCAACTACCTGCCAAACCTCTCTATGACCTAAGGGAAAGGTAGAAAGGATGGTCAGTCAGGTCAACTGGAGTGACTGACTAAACCTGAAGCCTGGTCTGTCTCGATTGTACAAAGGATCCTAACAAACCCTGTGACTGGGTCACCCCTCAGTGGGGGGCTCTCAGGTAAGGGAGGGCACCTTGGGGCACTTCCTGCAGAAAACAGAGAAGTAGTCGAAGGAGAGTGAACTAGTGAAAGGAAAGTAATTCTCTGCATACACAGTATTTTGAACTGTATCCCTGTGTGATATTGGGGTCAACTTTCTCTTTTCTCCTTTACACAAGTTTTTGTTTATTCCAAGAAGGAGTTTCTCTATGTAATCCATGGAAAGCAGTTTTCCTGGTCTTATCTTTCATGGTGCGTACTCACTGGATTCAACATTTCCTTGCCAGAGCTGTGACTCTTCCAAGCCAGGGTCTATTTGGCCCCTCTGCTGAGTGCCAATCACATTTCTAGAAAATGGTCCTGCCAGCTTAACTGAGTCAAGCTACACCAAAGATCACATCTCTTGTCAAGCTGTCATCAGTGGAGCAAAATTTTTGGCCAGTTTGAATAAAGCTTTGCTTTAAAAAAGTTTAGAAACTACAGGAGAAATTTTTTAAAAATTCAAGTTACCATTCACCACTTTTACAGAAGAAGAAAAAGGATTCTAAAATTTCTCCAAGATGTATTTTGGACCCAAGTCACTAGTTACAGTAGCAGCTCTTAAGACCTTTCCCTCAGGTTCCTTAAGATACTAAGATGACTAAGATGAGGATTCTTGTGGTATGCTTATATCAACAGCAAGGCATAAGCAACTCAGAGATTCCCAGATAATAATGATAAATAAGCATATATTATTGCTGTTATTGTCATGACAAATATTATTATTAAATGCATTTAGACTGGCAGATAATTATCAATTTTAAATTTGAAGGAGTAATAGTTCAAAATCTATTTCTAGAATGTCAACTATTAACAAGATATTCTATATTAAATCAGTATATAGTTACATATATAATTTATAAAATACATACATTATATATATACTTTAAATATATATAAATTATACAATTTATAATATATATATAAATATATCTAAATTTACATATATCTAAATTTATATCTTAACTGCGATTAGCATCTTATAAATACTGAGAGTTAAAGAGCTAGTAAACATATATCATCCTTGAAGACTTACCTTGAGGGCCAGGGTCTCCTGGTGGCCCAGGTAACCCATCCTTTCCTGGCGGACCAGGCCTCCCATGGGCTTGGGCAGCCAGCATTGCTGCTGGTAGCTTGAGCTGGGACAGGAACACAGCCATCCTCTCTACATTGGTGAAGGGGGAAAACAACACATCATGTTACAGAGACACTTTTCATGTCAAAAGTTTTCAAGTATTTTTTACATTAAATTCAACCAAAAAAGTTATTTGGTTTTCAATTCAGTCATATCTAGTTTACCAACAGGTCGAGATTTCTTTTTGATTGTTCAAATAAAACAGACTGTACAAAGTTGTTTGAATATGGATACAGACCAGTCCTTTGGAGAATTTCCAGGGCTCCAGAGATGTAGCCAATCTAAGGGACAACATCCTAGCACCTAAGTAACTTCTGGTCATGACTTGTGAAGAGAATTTAGGTTCACATGAACAAATGGTTGTAATAATCAATTGAAGCCACTATCCAGCAATGTTGTGAATGTGTGTGTGGTGATTTAAAATAAGTTCACAAAGCCTTTGAGACTCCCTTACAAATGGGATTAGGTAGAGCCTCCTTCCCCTATTCTTGAGTGTGGGCTGGACTTCCTTTTCACTTTTCAACAAACAGAAGAAAGGCAGGATTGAGTGTGCCAGTATGGAGACTGAGTCATGAAAGACTCATGGCTTCCTGGTGGTTTCTCTTTTACTTTCTTATTCTGGGGGAAGCCAGCTGCCATGCAGTGAGGACCCTCTGGCAGTTCCGTGGAGAGACCCACATGGTGATGATCTGGAGCCACCTGCCAACAGCCAAGTGAGTGAAACTGGGAGTGGATCTTCTGGCCCCAGTCGAGCCCTCGGATGAGTTCAGCTGTGGCTGACATCCTGAATGAAACTTCATGACAGGCTCTGAGCCAGAACCACACCACTAAGCAACCCTTTCAGTCCCTGAGCAGCAGCAAATGCATAATAACAAATGCTGCTGTTTTTAAGCCACTAAAGTTTTGAGATACTTTCTTCTGCAGCAAGAGATAACTCACATAGTATGTGACATTTTGTATTCTTGAACAAAATTGCATTATTGATAGAGAGGTTTATTTACTGAAAAGATGATCATTGGCTTCATAGTCCCTATGATTTCACTGCATTGTTAAATTCTACACTGGACTAGTATTTTACTTTGTCAAAAATTAACTTATGCTTTTAAAGCAAATGTCTTGGGAACTATATTCAATACCTTATAATAGCCTACAATGAAAAAGAATATGAAAATCCATATATGTATATATATATATATATAACTGAATTGCTTTGTGGTACACCAGAAAGTAACACAACATTGTAAACCACCTACACTTCAATAAAAAATTAAATACTATAAGAAGAAAACATCCTATTATAACCCTCAATATTGTTTATTTTTTTTCCAGTTTGATTTTTAGTTCCAGTTAGTTCCATTATTCAGCCAAGGTTTTAGTAGGAAGGACGTCTCCTTTAGCCAAAGGAATGTATGCAGTATTGGTGCAGACTCATGGTCCCATGGAATTCCAATGGCAGAGTGAAAACAGCAAAAAAAAAAAAGAACAAAACAAAACAAAAACGCTATTCATTTCTGTGAACCTCAGGAAAACATTGAAACTAAGAAGATGCAAGTTACAGGAAGTTGACAAATTATCCAGAACATTTAAAACTCTTCTGTCAGTATTGAGTGCTGTGAGCTTTAACAACTGAATATGCCCTAAATCTGCAATGCTGCCTTCTCAAGGTCACGTTACTGTCATCTGCCCTTGTTCGTCCGCCAGACTGCTTGGAGCCCAGCGCTGTTCATCTGGGTCCTATAGAAAGAGACCAAGAAGGGTAGGGAGGGCTGTGCAAAGGTGCTTCCTCAGGGTGAGACCGGTTGTTGGGCTGGGAGGGTATCCTTACAGGAGACATACAAATGTCAACACTTAGAGACTTATTAAAAAGTCAACAGAAGTGTCAATACATCGTAGAAGACTGATCCATTAATAACTCATAACATTTAAAGGATTTGGAAAATGAGGAACTTCATAAAATGTAAATGTGAAAATATGAAACAGAATTTTTCACTCTAAAATTCCTAAATAAGACATATTGCTCACTAAATTAAACATTCTCTGTAAGCAGGGCCTTGTACTGGGCAATTAATGCTTTCTGCTCTAAGCGCTCTTGTCCAGAAATCATGGGGAGAGCCTGAGAGAGATGATGACTTCAGTAAGAACTACTATCCATATTTTTATAAGATTATCTGCTGATACGCTTTATTTTATAACTAGAAATTTGTTATATAATTATTCTCAGAATTACATTTTTAAAATAATCAACTTCAGGGTTACAATTGTTATTATAGAATTCTTGGTTATTATTAATCCCACATAAGACCACTGTTCAGTTAAATTTCACCTCAAAAGCATATTCGATAATTTACCACTATGTGGAACTAATTTTGGTAAAATCATTAACACAAATTCATCCAGAGTCCATGATACATACAACCTTATCATTGGATTCTGTATTTTTTAATTTTAGTTTTTATTGAAGGGTATTTGATTTACAATGTTAGTTTCAGGTGTACAGCAGTGATTCAGTTATACAAATACATACATGCATATGTATACATTTTCAGATTCTTTTCCATTATAGCTTATTAAAAAAATTGAATATGGTTCAATTTGCTTGGTTTGTTTATATTTTGTATAGCTCATTTTTAACTAATCTAATATATACATAACTAGATTTAAAATAGAAAACTGAAGGAAGGCATCTCCTTGCTGTGACAGAAAAAAAGTAATGACATGTTTTTCTTTTCACATACTTTCTTTAAAAAGCAAATTCAAATGGTTTCATTTGCAAAACTAATTTTTCAAGATACAGCTAGAGTTAATGTGAAAAAATCAGCATAGGCTTGGGGCAGATATATCTTCCAGAAAAATATTCTACTGATGAAACTGTGTTTATTTTGCAAGTAAGGAGTAAATGACAGTAACATTTTAGAGTCTGGCTGCCAGTTAGAGAATACAAAAGCCAAATCATGCAGACCCTGTAGAGTTATCTCAATTTTCTCCAGTTTTTTTTTTCACTCAGTTTAGTTTATTTAGTTGAACTTCAAAGACTCATTTCACTCAGATATGTATGTTTTACAGATTTTTGATAGAGAGTAAATTATTCCTGACTAAAACCTATTTTGCAACAGGCTTTCAATAAAAATTTTGCTTAAGAAATGTAGTCCCATATACTATTTAAGAAATAAAACAAAAATTCTTTTCAAATAAAATTATTAAGGGAAAAGCCCCAACAAATGTGGAGCAGTAGCTGGAAATGCCAAAAGAGCAATCACCCTACACTCACATCCTCAAATCACAAATCAAGCAGAGCAGAAAAATTACTACACCTACAGGACCAGAATCTCTGGTGTGGGTTGATTGACAGCGATGATGGTGACCAATGAGGATCTGACGAGTCATCCCTAACAATGCCATTAAGTCGCTGGCTTTCCTGCAAAATTTACCATCTGACTATTCACCTGGGACAGGCTTGGTTGATGTTAATACATTTGTTTCCAGTAACAACAGATAAAACAAATTTGCAATTAATATATATACTTCTGCAAATCATCACATTGAATACAGATATATCTTTATTATATTACATTGTAAACTGGGTGTTTTATAAACAAATACGAAATCCAATGATCAGTTGAATCCAACTGAATCCAATGACAGTTTGAAACTGCATATTATTTGCTATTTTTCACTTAAAAGACAGATATATATTTCAGTACATTTTCCCTTAATTCGGGACCTATTCCTTTGAATACCTTCAACGTCTAAACAAATATTCACAGTACAATTTTCCTCTCTAACACATGGGTTGAATTTATAAGTAATTTGCTTTGGGTGCTTTTAAATAATTTTAGTAAAACAGAAAATTCCTTTAAATAATGACTTCTGGCTGTAAATTATTTAGCTTTAAGATACACTCAGAAATAGTCATTTAGCATAAGGGTAATTACTTCCTCTGAATCCTACTCCATGGTCATAATTTAAAATAGTAAGTTTCTGAGCCACTAAATAAATTGTAGAGACCTGTATTCTTAATTGCTTTTCCTCTGTTTTCAGGGATCTTCGGTCCATTAAACTGTTTTTTGGCTGTGCTTTCTAATGAGGCAGGAAATTGAAGAGTTCAGACAGGAGCTTGCATAGACCAAACACACATATTCTGTCTGTGCAGGCAAACCCATAGCAGTCGTAACAAATGAGACCAATGGCTTGCCTTCCTTGGAGAAAGGGCTCATTAACATAATGCAGACATTAATATTAATGTGATGGGAAAGTACATGATACGGAGAAGGAAGGGGCATTCAGATGTCATCTGGCCTATGTCTACCTTCTTTTTCACAGGTAGAATGTGTAAATATTTTCAAAGAGAGAAATCTTTTTCTCCTATTGCCCATTCAAATGTTCGATCGCCCATTTTCTTGGTACAGCTTCAACTTACTTTCTTTTGTTAGCCCATTATGGAAACATAATGAGCATTTCTCTTGGGAAATCAGTCCTATACTTGATCATATGGTTACCGTTTAGGCTTCAGGTTAAATAACTTTTCCTCATAGCCTTGGTAAATCTGTTTCATAAATCACCTTTTGGTTCCACTCTTCCAGGGCTTCTCCATAAATCTTTTTTTTCCCTTTTAAAAGATTATTTTTTATTGAAGTGTAGTCGATTTACAATGTTAGTTTCAGGTGTACAGCAAAGTGACTGTTATACATATAGATACATACATAGGTTAGGCAGTCAGATAGAAATGAGCACCGGGCATGGGGAGAGGAGGAGGAAGGAGCAACCCTGAAAATAACAGTACACCTGCACTCTGGATAAGGGGCTCCAAAAACTTTCACTTTCTCTAAATGAGGGCCAGCAAAGAAGCCAGCCCCAAAGCTGCTGCGGCTGCGCGGTAGAGAAGAGGACCCGGCTTAACCTGACCCAATGCTTATTACAATGTAATTAACATTGCAGTTTGAGCCCCCTCCCACAGGTTTTCTGTGTGCATCATGGGTAAGAACATGCGCAAAAGGGTGGGCGTGCCTGAGCACAAGGAACCGAGCTGCAAA